CCTCTTTCTTGTACAATCGCTCCAAGTTCTCACTCTTTTCTCTCATCAAGATCTCACCTTTTTAGATCTAAAAAACTCTCTGCGTAGCCGCCTAAAACCTCAGAAAACCTTCTAGGAAACTCTAGGAATGAGTTCCTATTTATACCCAAAGAATTAGACCCGAAAACAGGCCCAAAAACCACATCTGAAAAATCCCGTCAGCTGTCTCAGAGCCCGCGCGAGACACACTCGCTCCGGCGAGACACCCGACTGTTCACATGATCAATTCATATAGAACTAGATGATAGATGTAGAAACCAACTTTAAAAAAACATTTTGAAATCATTTTTTTAGAAAATTTCAACAGATTAATAGTGAATTTTTTTTACTGGATTAATTGTGAATACATCTATATATGATTAAGTTTACTAGAATGATGTAAGTGTAATTTGTATTTAGCTGTAAGAGTAGTTGTCGATAATAGGGAAGATCACGAATTTGACCTACACCAATTACTTTTGGGAAAGTTTCTTCCGTATGGATGGTCATTTTCTTATTCAACTATATAAACGAAGTATATAAATGAAGTATGATAGGCATAGGAACCATTATTTAGACAATTTAACAAGCTCAACATGAAAAAAAAATCTTTGCATGACGTGACATACACCAAGTTAAATTTAGAAAAACTTCCTTTTGTGCATAAATGATGACCACTATCTGTTTTATTAATTTAAAAAATATGAAAGAAATAACTCTTCAAGTTTGAACAAAAATAACAAGCTCTTTCTCAAGATATTTGTGCATATGCAACTGCAAGTTTACTTGAATGATACTGAGAAGAACTTGTATTTAGCTGTGAGAGTGCTTGTTAGATAATAGGAAAACTATCTAACCTATTGAATATTTGTTAGGAGTGATTCAAATTCTTATCATTGAATAGGATATACAATTCAATTAGAATCTCTATTCGCTATGCCTAGTATCAAGATAAGGACAAAAGAGTTTGTTTATTTTATTAAGATTTAGATTCTGATCTTATAGAATTTGTGGCTAGCGACAACTCTTATCGTTAGTCTATATAAATATAGTAGAAGCTTTTTGATGAGGATCACAACATCAAGAGAAAGAATAGATAGTTCTTTATTAAGTCTGTAGCTAATTGACTATCTATTTTTTTTCTACATTTTTGAGATCTGTTGATGTCAGTTATCAAGCAGGGTGTTTGTGTGATGATTTATGGAATGCTTAAGATACTCTTAACTCTTTTTGATGAGTGATTCTGGGGCTCGTTGTTTTTCCCTGCACATGAAGGAACTCATAAAAGGGCGGAGTTTGGTTCTTCGGTTATTCCTCCGATGATCAAGTCAGTGTTTTAAGCTTGAGTGGAGAAGTAATATATAGTTAGTTCTTAGTTACGTAAAAAGACTAGAGAGCATTACCTCATACAGTGCCGCTTCTTTTATAGCGGGTTTGAGGGTCAAGAAGGTAATTTAGGCCGAGTCCAACTAGGCGGCTGAGTCGGTAGGCATGTGCTATGTGTCGGTTGCTGAATGAGGTGAGTCACCTGGTCATTTATTGTGGGAATGACAGTAGGTGCTTAGTGCTGACTGGGTCCCATGAGTCATAAAGACTATGGAGGCTAGGGTAATGATGATGTTGTCAGCGCAGTTAATGCAAGAGTAGTCGATTGTCTAGGGGTTCGAGATAACTGTCATCTTTCGACTCCTCAGGTCCAGGGCCAAGAAATACCACCTTTTAACTCAGTTACGCGAGATGTCGGATGAACAATGGGCTGAGTCGTATCACTGATGGCTAATTGAGATGTTGGACGAATAGTACCGCCTTTTGACTCGGTTACGCGAGATGTCGATCAACTAAGTCGGCTGTGCCGAGTAGGATATTATCCTGATTTTGAATTAGTTTGGTTATGCAGAGTGTAAGACACGTGTCGACTTCTCTGTGGAGATTAATATTTAGTATTTTTAGGGGTTATATAACAAGATCGTATTCGACCATCTAATGACATCATTAAGCATTGAGAGGGGATCTGCATGCTGAAGCAACAGGTTCAGGAGGTTCTTGATTTGACTCTCTATTTGATTAACTTCATAGTTGTTAAAGATTGTTAGAGAGATCAAGTGCTTTCTAGGGTGTGATTTAAGATTGAAGGATTGAGAAATATCTATATTGTATTTCACACAATTTAGTAAAACCATTTAAAAATATTATTTGTGCTCTTAATATTACTTGTGCCTTGGTGTGAATGATATTAATTTATTTCTTAGGATTTGTCATAACGATATTGATGGCCGATAACGATCTTATTGATTCTCAAAGAAACTATATGATAGATTTAGAAACTATTATCTAGATAAACTTAATAAGCTCGTTACTTGCGGCCAGCACAATAATAGTAGCAATAATACAGCAGCAGTAGCAACATCAGTTACAACAACAATAGTAAAAAAAACAGTAAACAAACAAATAATGACTATATGAATCAAACAGGTGTACAAAGGGTTGGAAGAATTGTATTAAAAAAATGCAATTTCATGAACAAGAAAAAAAGAAAAAGAAAAACAATTTGGCATGTGGGGGTGCAACTAGGGGTGAGCATAGTTCGGTTCAAATCGAACAAACCAACCGAACCGGCCAAAATTTAACAGTTCGGTTTGATTTTTATTAGAGTTCGGTTCGGGTCAGGTCGAAGTTTTTTTTACCCGAACCGACCAAACGATTGAATTATATTATCCATTCTAATTACTATTTATATCCGCTTAAACCCGACCCATTATAGTTCATATAGAGTTACTTCTCTGCAGCTTGATATTTTTCTCTCACGCGACCTGATTGCGATGAATTACCCCAACAATAGTGTCCTCTCCAATTCTAGGGCTTTTTTATTATCTCTAGTTCTTTATCCCTCTATATTACATATCCGCTTCTTCTCCTTTGGATCAATCTATTTTGGAGGTAAGAAACTTAAACCATTATGTTGATTCTAACCTATTCATGATTTTTCTCCTCGATTGATACATTTTGGGAATAGACTTCTCTTCGGATCGGACTTATAATTCTATAGAAACTATACCCAACATCCAAGTTATTACTTATTTTTTATTTACTTTGTCTATCAGATTGAGATCACTTTAATTCTTTATGTAAGTTTTCTCTAAAAAAATTTATGTAATCTTTGGTAGGAATAAGACTTTGATTTCTACATCTAATATTCAGTAGCATTTAATAGATTATGAATTTTAATAAATTGAAGTGTAAGAGACTTCTTTCTTCGTCAACAGATTAGAGATGGAATTGAATTTGAACATAACATTTGTACCTAAGTGAAAACCAAATAAACCGACCTGAACCGACTCGAACCGACTTGAATCGGTTCACTTCGTTTTTGAATGATAGGCAGTTCAGTTCGGTTTGGCCAAATTTGGTCAAAAACCAAACCGACTGACCGATTGCACAACCCTAGATGCAACAAAAAATTTAAAAGGTAAAAAAGAATAACCATTTAGACTAACAAGTAGTGAAATAGTAGTGCCTCAATAACCAGATTGGTATTAAAATTATTTTCGGCGATAACAAGACATTTAAACTTACACGATGAGACAAATAAGCCCAAAAATAAATTTCTCGGTCAACTTTTCCGGCGACGACTCATATAGGGGTATATTTTTAAACAATTATAGGGGTTATTTTAAATTAGGCCAACTTTTCTCAACCAATTTTTCTCGGCCAACTTACAAGACGTCACATGATGCTTATGTGACATATTTAGGATAACATGACAACTTTAGTTAGCCTAATTTAAACAATTATAGGGGTATATTTTTAAATTAGTGCAAAAGCAAAGAGGAGTATTTTTATCTGGGAACTTCTTCTCCTTCTTCTATCAAATTAGGGTTCTCCATTGTTTGAGAACATGAAATCCTTAAGCTCAAGCAATGAAGAACCACCAATTTTAAGGATGAAGGAGTCCCAACATTTAAAAAAAATCCATCTTTTTTTAATCTAATTTGAAAATCTCTCATTCTAATGGGTTGAATTAGACTAACTACAGTTCCCACGTCATCATAAACATGTCACCTGAGCGCATGTGGCAGATTACCTGAATGGTCGTCAGAAAAATAACCTGAAAATTTATTTTTGGATTTATTTGTCTCATCGTACAAGTTTAAATAACTTGTTATTGCCGGAGATAAATTTAATACATTGTTAGTAACGGGATACTTCTTTGAATGCTAATCTCTTAATTTAGCCATACATATGCATAGTAACAGGCTAACAACGAACGTTGAATGGGCCTCGAGAAATTATCACATACCTTATAAAATGGGCTATAGGCTTCATTGACTATGAATGGTCCTCCAGAAACAAACAAAGCTCATGGCCCAAAAATACGTATGTAACGACGTATTCGTGCCCTCAGTACATACACACACAAAACTAATTTATAAACTGGGAATTTAGATCTTAGACATCACATATTCAATAATTTTCTGCTAGTCCCTCATATTAATGAAATTGATTATTAATCCCCATGGGATTTTGCAAATAGGTCCCTCTAGTTAACTCACGTCCATCAAATCTAATGATTCGAGAAAAAGTTTACATTTTACCCTTCAATTATACTCACTAACTATTGCTTAATTTGTTTAGTAATCCCACACCTGTTATAAAAGAATCAACCCATTGAGATCATCCTCTTCTATTGTTGAAAAAACTATTTTTATCCATTTCCGAGCTTCCTAGCAGTCATATCCCCTCTAAAATGTATGTAATTCTCTAACTGAGGGGAAATTTGGTTACTAAGGGTGTTAGGTTAGGAGTTAATCTAACCGTGATTTGAAATTTTAATTGAAGATCTATATAAAAGGGATCAATTTGCATAACCCCATGTGATTTGAGGGATTAATAATCAATTTTAAAGATTTGAAAAAGTAATATGAAAATTTTGAAGATGAGTGGGACTAAGATCTAAAAAATTATAAATTACAGGGTTTTAGCCCGCCGTCTCCAAATTAGGGTTTTAGCTTCCCCATTCCCCTCTCTCTCTCTCTCTCTCTCTCAAACCCTAGCTCCGGCGATGAACTTCCGCTTCCAGAATCTTCTCGGCGCTCCGTATCGCGGCGGAAACGTGGTGGTCGCCGAGGACGCGACCTTACTGTCACCGGTCGGTAACCGCGTCTCCTCCACCGACCTCCTCAAATCCCAAACCCTAACCCTGCCCATCGAATCCGCCTCAAACATCTCCCGCATCGCCATCTCTCCGGACGGCGTATTCCTCCTCGCCGTCGCCGCCGCGCCGTCCTCCACCGCATCACCTTCAAAAACCCCGCCACCGCCGTCGAGTTCAGCCCTAATGGAGCCCTAATCGCCGTGGGCGTTGGTAAGCTTGTTCAGATTTGGAGGTCACCGGGCTTTAAGAAAGAGTTCTTTTCGTTTCAGTTGGAGAGGACGTTTCCTGATTGTGCGGCGACAGTCACTTCGTTGAATTGGAGTCCCGATTCGAAGTATTTGCTCGCTGGATCCAAGGATTTGACGGTGAGGTTGTTTTCTTTGGATAAATCGAAGGAGGGGAGAAGGCCGTTCGTATTTTCGGGGCACAGAGAGGCGATTGTGGGTGCATTCTTCTCTCTTGATAAGAAGAGTGGCAAAGTTGTCAGGGTTTACTCAGTTTCGAGAGATGGAGCTATTTTTACATGGAATTTGGATCAAAGTTCTGATTTTGATGAGCCTCTATCTCCGGGTACGCCAGAACAAGGTGCCTCTATTGATGATTTAGATAATTTTAGCAGAAAAAGGAAGAATTTGGAGGAGAGTGAAATTCTACTGAATAAAAGGAAGTGGGAATTGGCTAAGAAGGACTTGTTCATGCAAGCACCAGCGAGGTTGACTGCTTGTGATTATCACAACGAACTTGATATGGTGGTTGTTGCATTCTCTAATGGGGTTTTCGGATTGTATCAGATGCCTGATTTTGTGTGCATTCACTTGCTTTCAATATCTAGGGAGAAGATAACTACTGCTGTTTTTAATAGGTTGGGGAATTGGTTGACGTTTGGGTGTGCAAAACTTGGGCAGTTGCTTGTTTGGGAGTGGAGATCAGAGAGTTATATCCTTAAGCAGCAGGGGCATTATTTTGATGTAAATTGTGTGTCATATTCTCCGGACTCACAGATGTTGGCTACTGGAGCGGACGATAATAAAGTCAAGGTAATGTGCTTCTTTGATTAACAAATTTTGCAAACAGAATTATTCTACTATGATTAATTTGTTGACAGTATCCTAAACTTCGTGAATAGATGCAAACTATCAATGAAAACATCATGGACTCATGCAATTTATAAGTAATGTTAAAAGCATTTAATCAAGATGTATCTAATTTGTTGCCACTTCATGAGGTGATTTATTGGTAATTTCGTGGTTCGTGCCATTGAACAAGAGCTTACATACACTCTTGTCCCCCCTCTTTAATTTTGTCAACAAATCTCTGCCTTGATAGGAATGTAATGTCATTAGGTGTTCTTGTACCTCTTGTCTTAGTGCTTAGTGCATTTACTCTTATGGCTTGTATCGATATTTTTTATGTTCATCTCTCTATAGAAATTCTGAAGGGGCGTTTAAGAAATCTTGATGACAGAACAAGTTATGAGAGTTATTGAGGAATTGCATTAACCAGTATGCCTTAAGTTAAAAGGAGTACTAAACTATTGATGTAAAATAACAATGAGGCTGTGGAGAAAGAAGATAGGTTAGGGGGGAAAGAAGAGAACCAGTTATCAAGAAGGACCTATCATTCAAGATTAATAAATAACTTGGAAGTCTTTGAAGCTTCTCCTTACTATTTCAAAATTGTGAAAATTCTGAGTTTTTTGTTAATAAAATAGCTGCGTAATTTCATATTGCTGAAGCTGACATCTCAATTCTCATATGAAAAAAAAGATGTTATATAATTGTACGAGAACAATTGCTATCAAAAGAATTCTTGTCGAATGATGTTTTTCTTGGCATATTTTCCTTGGGCTACACTGATACTCAAAATCAAACCTTTATTTTTATGTATGACAGGTCTGGACAGTTTCATCAGGCTTTTGTTTTGTAACATTCTCTGAGCATACTAATGCTGTCACTGCAGTCCACTTCATGGCTAATAACCATTGTCTTCTGAGTGCCTCACTGGATGGAACGGTTCGAGCATGGGATTTGTTTCGTTACCGGAATTTTAGAACATTTACTACTCCTACACCCAGGCAGTTTGTTGCATTGGCTTCAGACCAGAGTGGTGAAATAATTTGTGCTGGGACACTGGATTCTTTTGAGGTATTTGATATATTAATCTGTGTGTTTTAGTTATGCTCATAAGCTTTTCTTTTGTCTTGTCTTGACAGTTTCATGTTATTTTGGGTTTCAGATTTTTGTTTGGTCAATGAAGACTGGCCGTCTATTAGATATTCTTAGCGGTCATGAAGGACCAGTTCATGGTTTGATGTTTTCGCCTACAAATGTAAGTAAACTCCCTTTCTTTCTTTTTGTTGTTTAAAAAGATAAAATTGCATGTTGAATATCATTTTAGATTGTACTCATCTTATTTAGCTAATTTTATTTATCTTTTGCTTAGATATATAATTCATGCTTTGTTATTTTTTATGCATATTATACAAACCGAATGTTTCCTTATGTCACATTTGTATATATGTATGTGTGTTGTTCATGTATGTATGTTTGTACATTACCTCTTTTAGCAAAAGACTGAAGTGGTGCAATAAACCTACTCCGGTTGACTAGCAGGGCGAGTCTCACTACTAGTCTATGTTTTTGTTATTCAGAAGAATGAGTTATCATCTCGTACACATTTGTTCTCATTTATAAATATAATGGATTTTCTGTCTCATGGAGAGCTCATTCCTTTTCTTTGCCTTTTCTCTTCAGGCTATTCTAGCTTCATCATCATGGGACAAAACTGTTAGGTTGTGGGATGTTTTTGAGGGGAAAGGTGCAGTGGAGACCTTTCCGCATACACATGATGTACTCACAGTGGTGTATCGTCCGGATGGAAAGCAGCTAGCTTGCAGTACACTAGATGGTCAAATTCACTTTTGGGATCCTATAGATGGTGTAGTAATGTACACAATTGAGGGTCGTAGGGATATTGCAGGAGGACGACTCATGACAGATAGAAGGTCAGCAGCCAATTCCAGTTCAGGCAAATATTTTACAACTCTGTGCTACTCTGCTGATGGGAGCTATATTTTAGCTGGAGGAAGCAGTAAATACATATGCATGTATGACATTGCAGACCAGGTCAGGCATCTCTCTTGTCTTCGTTTCTACTGTGTTAAATTTGTGTACTCTGCAGTAAATTTCCTTAATCAGTATATTTATTTTCTGTCCTTTTATTTAGGAAGCAATTGCCTTGAAGTTCTTCAGCAGTTCAATAAGATTGTAAACAGAGCTTAGTCACTTACACAATCTCCTCAAATATATTTGACCTTTAGTTATTTTTATATTTCGAGCCAGTCAATTTATTTATGGTTTACATGTGGTTTCTAATAATTTTTTGGAAATCGTTTCTCACAAATAATTTGTTTTCATTAGTCTAGTTGGAAGCTACCCGTCCTGAGGAATATCTCTTGGACATGGTATATATTAAATCCTGATTAGTGGGTAAAACACCTCGCAGCCAGACGTTAAATTTGATTTGATTTGATTTTCCTTTAAGATGCATAGACCTGATGGCTATCGGCCAAACCAACTGTCCCCCAATCACACATAAAGAAACAAATCGAACTAACAAAAGGGATATCTTTTCAAATGTAGGTAAGTTGGGTTCCCCTTGGGTGCTAGGTCATCAATCTTCTTCAATATAAGAATTCAAGATGCATAACCAATTCTCTCTCTAGGATCATTGCATCTCTTATAGGCTTTGATTATATACACCATTGTTGATTCTAATTTTGGTCTTCTGGTTTTCTAATTGCATGTTTCAAAGTCGCATGATGTTTCTGAATAACAGTAGAAAACATGTTAGTGATGTCACTAGGAAATATGACAGTCATGTATGAGCGACCGGTGTACTTTTTCGGTTTTTCATTATTCATTTGAAAAAAAAAGCTATGGAACTCAGGTTTATATGGATTTTCTACTTAGTCCTTTTTTATAGATTCATTGCGACACAATTTGTAACTCGGAGAAATTGCACTGTTGTATTTCTAGTGGATTAACTGAGACCTGGATTTTTTTTTTCTATAAAAAATATCTCATGTGGCTATTGCAAATTGCATTGGAAGATGACCACTCTGAATGAAACATCTGTGTGGAATCAGCGCTTTTTTCCTCTTTATCCCATGAAGCCCTAACTGTTCTATTCTTGCAATTTTATAATTGTTAATGCGGAATGCTAGAAGGTAGTTACTCAAGTGCTTTAAATTATTAACTATTAACTTCAATGCTATTGCTTCAGGTCTTGCTCCGCAGATTTCAAATTACACGAAATCTCTCTTTGGATGGAGTTCTCGACTTTCTGAATTCTAAGAATATGACAGATGCTGGTCCACTGGATTTAATTGATGATGAAGATAGTGATGGCGAAGAAGGTATCACTAAGCAAACAAGAGATACATTGGGATATGATCTACCTGGGTCGAAACCCAACCGTGGGCGTCCAGTTGTACGCACGAAGTGCTTGAAGATTGCGCCTACTGGAAGATCTTGGGCTGCGGCTACTACTGAAGGAGTTCTAACATACTCTGTAGATGAATCCTTTGTGTTTGATCCTACCGATCTTGACATTGATGTTACACCGGAGGTATGATGATCTTTCTATTCTTGACTATCTTGCTAAAAGCTAGCCCCAACCTATCTGGTTTATGGTCTTAACCGGTTCTTATCTATCCTTCGAGTATGTTAGGTGGTGATAATGCTTTAACCTACGTTAGTAGTAAAATCACTGCCATCTGCATATTGCTGCTTTTGTACTTAGAGATTTTCCAGGCCTTCAAAGAATTTTGCCCCTGGTATCCACAGCTTAGTGGATCATGTACCTGTGTGCAATATCTGTTATAGGAGTACATGTTGTATTTTCTAGGTTTATTGTCTTCTATAACAAGGAATTTCAAGCTTTCAACTTAATGTTACATATGCGAACTCAATGACAGGCTGCCTTAAACTCAAAAAAAAACCTTCTCCATCAATATTGATCCATGATATTTGGAATGCTAAGGCTAAAACAATCTTTAAGATTATTTCCAATGTTGCTTTGATATATGTATTGTTTGGCACCGGAGATTAACATAGTGCATTTGTGCAAGAGTATGGGTTTGATGTGTAGTCCTGGATGCATATTCATGGGTGCATCAGAAGAGTGTGAGGTAAATAGGACTGGTATAGAGTATGAGTTCGAGTATGGGTCATGCAAGAGAGTATTAGTTCGATGTGTAGTCGTGGATAAATATTCATGGGTGCATCGGAAATGTGTGATGTAATAGGACTGATCGAGTGAGTATGGTGTAAAAAAGAGAGAGTGGTATTGTGAGTGGTGTCTTTTCTTCACGCCATGGTGATAATTGTCATAACTTCTTGCATCAGCTAATGCATCATGCGTCATTTTATCACTGTTGTCTTCAACACATACATCACCTTTTCATCTTAATTTTCTATTTTCGTAAGGCTTTATTTGCCTCATAAGGTCTTGTAATATCAATATCTCCAACAAGCTCCTCCTAGAGGTCTCGACCATGTAAGTATGATCCCACACACGTATTATACTAGCTGCAATTGTACATGCTTGGTATTTTGACTATATCAATAGTTTTCATTAGGTTCGTCATTGTACCGTGATACGCATTCTATGGAGCTCATCTTGGCTTGATTTTTCTGGCATTTTGATAGTTGCCTTATTCTAATTTCGCAGTTCATAGCGCCCATGTTCTATTTTGATAGTTTTCGTATTGGCATTTGGATCCTAGTTGACAACCGCACTCTTATTTGTTATCCTCTGAATTAAGAAAATTTTTATTCCTTTACCATATATCTACTATCTAGTCAAAGTGCATATATCTTTAATAGTATGTTTTCATGCTCTGACTTGATTTCTAGAGCTTGCTCCATCAGTGAATATTATGATTGCTGCAACTTGTAAATTAATCAAATGATCCCACAGTAACATCAGTATGTTAACTCGCACAGGCAGTTGAAGTGGCTCTTTCCGAGGGCCAAAAGCAGAGAGCATTAATCCTCAGCCTTCGCCTAAATGAGGACTCTTTAATCAAAAAATGTATATTTTCCGTAAATCCCTCAGATATACCGGTGGTAGCTTCATCCATACCCTTCAAATATTTGCAGAGGTTAATGGAGGCATTTGCTGATCTCTTAGAAAGCTGCCCACATCTGGAATTTAGCCTTCAGTGGTGTCAGGTCTGCTTACTATCTGCAGATTTCTTCAGTGTCATTTACAGGAGGGTGAATCTATTTCACAAATTTAAAAGGGCAGTCTTATTTTGCAGGAGCTTTGTAAAACTCATGGGCATTTCATTCAACAAAATTCCAGAAGTCTTCTACCGGCTCTAAGATCCCTGCAGAAAGCAATTACAAAATTGCACCAAGACATGACAGATATTTGTTCATCTAATGAATATTTGCTTCAGTATCTGTGCGCAACAGGAACCAAAATCTGATGGAAATTTCACCATAGATCAGCAATGAGGTATATTCTTATGAAGATATTTAGATGCTTTCCTAGGCATTTACTTATTTTAGAGTTGATTTTTTTGGATGGTCAATAAGGTAAAATTGAATTCCACATGTTGATTGTTACTGTGTGATTTTTATGGCATTTCATAAACTCTGACAGTGCTGTAAAGTGTATACTTTAATGAGGATGATTATGAAGATTAATTTAGATATAACAAGACGGGTGCAATTGTCACTATCCAACCGTTCGCATTATTTTCTTTGAACGTTTGTGCAGTTGCTTACATGACATGTTTAATAATTGCTTATTTTGAGAAAATGATTATTATTGCTTACATTCTTCCGTACTGTTTCACCGCGGTAATAAACTGATCGCTAGCCATATATGATGAAACTATGGAAATTGAGTGCACATAGTTTTGTGTCCGCTTAGCAGGGGAAAGTCAGAAAAGGATCACCTGCAGCTCACTGCACTCCTACATACACAATCACTTTAGAATTGTCTTTGATTATTCATAAGAGTATTCATAGAAATTTCATATCTAACATTTTTACTTGGGCACAGCCGCATAATTATATTAACCAAGGAATGAGACTGGATCTGATTGGCAATGCATGTGTTATGAAGGTTCATCAGATTTAGTCACATTTTAGTTTGACTTGCAATATGATATGCGTAAACCAGTAGTTTTGCTTTCAAGCTTAGTGAACAAAGAAAAGCCCTTTAATTAAATGTATCTTATAATTCTACTGATGCTGGAATGTGGCTCTTAATCATCATCTGAGAGTATGTAGGTGAATGTCAAATCCTGGTGATGCTACGCAGCATTTTCTGGTTCTAGTTGTGATTTGAACTTTATAAACAAACTTTCTACCTAAGTGAGTGCTTTAATCATTTAACCATGAACCCTTAACAGGGTTTGTCATATATCAATCAGAGTCCAGTTGAAGTGAAATCATTGGGAGTAATCAATGGAACAAGATCAAGGCAACCCTCTATTATCTTTGTGGATCTCAACCTTATGGCTTATCCTAAGTTTTTTAAGTGTATGAGAAATATAACAAGTTACAACGTGTATTGGGGAACATAGCTAGATATTTTTGTAGAATGAGACAAGTCGGATAACTTGATACGGTTATGAGTGAACACACACAGAAAGCTATACGGAGTGTAATATCGAACCTGTTAGTTTTTGTTGTTGGCTTATCAACATGTGAATTTTAATGATAGGTTGATTACATGACATATTCTGGTTTTCCCTGCTACATCTCTAAGTAAGATCTTCAAGACGGTGCTTGGAAGTAAAAATTTATATCAATGGCAAGGAACCAGGGACATCATGTGAAACTATAACCAGAGAGAAGTTTCTTCCTCTCTTCTTTATTGTCCCCAATGGGGGAAAAACTAAATGTCATTACACTGCTTGTGGTTAAACTTGGCACTATGCCTAAGAAAAGGAAGTTGTTACGGAAGGCAAACGGCTCGACGTTGTTTCTGCTACAACTCATACTAATAAACTGGAGGCAGATTATCTCATACGTTGCTCATTCGTTCCTTTCTCTGTTTTATTGTACTTTCAAAATGCTCAGTTAGGCTGTTATGTGGAAATTCTCGTAAGTAGCCTCCACTATTGACAATATATTTAAGAAAATGAATTAATCATTACCATTGTAATCTGGATGCCTGTTTTTGTTCATCTTGCAGATGCTAACTGAGTATGTACTTCAAATTCCGTTCCTTCTCTTACAAGATCCAGATTCCCAATATGATTCCTACAACCAGTGTGAGGACATCTTATGCAGCTTCCATATGTAGTTCTTTACAACTTGTGCAATCATTACAGGATCCGGCATGCTGGCTAATGAATTGACGAGCTTTGGATGTGCTAGGCCAGTGAAAAAGAGAGAGGAAATGCGTTACATTGATTCCGTCCATGACGGTATGCTAGTCTTATTTTGTAATACCAGCTTGATTCTTTGCGTTGGATGCTTCAAGTTAACCATCATCCTTTCATATCCTAACATGCTGCTATGGTATCTATGTGGTACGTGGTTCCGAGCACCGAGTCTAGCCTATGGATCGTATTCCTTTTGCTTAGCACAATTCGCAGAATGTGTATGTTTATTAAGTATCTGACTCAACCTCTATCTTTATATTCTGTTTGAAATTTCTACTCTGTTCTGCATTTATACGTTCCGTGGAAGGAGCAACGTCGTGTTTGTAGTCTGTGAGTGTAATATAATAATTATTATATATATATTTTAAAAATGGTGCTGTCAATTTTCTTTTCCTTGCTTTTTTGTGAGCAACAACTTGTTTAGTATCTCTAAGAATGGTGCATATTCCAATTAACGGGTTGGAATTAATTAAGGGAGCGTTTGGTAACCGTGACGTTTTTACCCTTTTTTTTAACGAAAACAAAGAAACGCGTTTGGCAACCGGGGCGTTTTTTTACTTATTCCTTTACAAAATCTAAACGTTAAACACTTTTCTTAAAACACTAAAAATGTGTTTTAAGATTTTGTTTTTCATCTAC